ACGCACTCACACAAACACACACACACACACACTCTCTCTCTCACACACACACACACACACACACACACACACAAACACACTCACACACTCACACAGATTCGTTTCTTCAGTCACATGCCATCTGTTTGGGGGGGGGGGTTCATGATTTGTGCATATCAGCTCATCTGAGTAGGAGTTTAAGTAAACGAATCAAGCAAACACAGAGTGTAATCTGTTCAGTGGAAAATCAATGTCAGTAGAGTTTCAGCCCTGGTGTGTCTCTGTGGCTTTTCCTTGTAAGGGCCAGGACTTGTTTGAATGTCCTCACTGATAAGACCTGCGGGGGTTGGGTGCAGGAGGAGTGTGTCGCAATCGTTCCTAGTACACACTGTCTATAGACAACAACAGGAGCCTGCCAGCGCTGCGGGTCGAAGAGTCAGTCCAGGCCCTGCTGCTGTTCAACCAGACAGAGATCTCTCTGGAAAACAAAGGGATTCAGAAGTCCAACTGCATCAATACATTCTTCCAAAAAGAGTAAAAATCCTCAATACTTCAAATCCATTTGCTGTGTATTTGTAATAAAGGAGACTGCTAGTATCTCGGCACGTAATCCTTTTTTGGAGACACAGCATGTGAGCATTGTATTTACAGCCAGGTTTGATATATAAAGTGTGTTCTGGTGATAGTTCCTCTTTGACAGCACTGCCTTCATCATCATCATCATCATCATCATCATCATCATCATCATCATCATCATCATCATTATTAGTGAAGCTAGGCTTTACATTTGTCTTGTTTCCATTTGATCGATTTGATCTTATTTTATATTTATTTAGTTGTAGGATTTTAGTCACTGAAAGTAAAGCAGAAATGAGATGTTTGTGTTGTCAGTGTGACGGGGCTCTGAGCTGCTTTACTCGTGGCTGCATGCGGCGTGTGGAGAGCGTGTTTCTTCACTTCTCTCATCTAACGCTCCTTCTCTGTGTCATGCGTCTCTGCGTCTCTCTGCTCGTCTGAGTTCAGGGTGTGTTGAGTGACTGTTAAAGTCTCCTTTAACTGTGTTTGGATCGCATCACCGCATCACAGATCTCACATTATAAGTAGATCCTTCTGTTTTAGGGTGCATTTCACTGCGGTTGAAGAAGAAATGTGTTGTCTTTCTCCAGAATATTCCTGCGGCTCACTGCCGTCACATCAGACGCCGTCTGTACGGATCTGTCCAGCTCTTTCACAGGCACAGGACACGTGGTTTGGAAAATAGATGGATGGATGGACAAAGATATTTGAATTCAAATAACAAATTATTTGTCACCTGACAGTACATTTTTAACAGCTAAAATATACAAGTTCATCTTGCATCAGCTTTCCACATTTAGTTTTCTACAAGTAACATCGCAAACATGTTCAATATAAAATGGCTAAATTTGAGCCAGTCGGTCAGTGATGTGATTCTGTAGCATTTTTGCTCTGATACTTCAGAGTCTGGGTTGCTGTTTATGTCGTTTTATCCCATGCAGAAGTTGCTATGTGGGTTAAAGGTCACATTTTGGTGTCAAAGTGTGAAAAAAGCGACTGGTTCTTTATTGTGACTATGTCCCTCAGTTTATGGTGTGATCAACACTAGGAAGAGCGTGAAACACATGGGAATGATGTTATTAAAAGAGTGACGCAGCTTCTTCTCTGGAGCAGGAGCTGCAGTCTGTGTTCACCGAATAAACTGATTTCAATTACAATTAAATAAACAAATAATAATAATGTCCTTTTTTTGTGTTTGTCTATGAATTCTCATTTCAAGCATTTAAGATCAGGAGAAACATGAATTGAGTGACCGATGCTCTTCTCTGTAATGATTGCTCTCTCATCTGAAACGCTCATTATTGCACTGCTCTTTTATAGGCTCACTAAACACAGTAGAAATGGGGGAATAGTGCCGTTGTTTTGCTAATAAAGGGTCAAATTACAATCATTACAAAACACTGCTCTTTCACCTCATCCGCCCCCAGCAGCAGCAGTCTGAACTCATGGTGAAACCGCAGCGCCGAGGTGAAAGGCCAGGATAAAGCGTGAAGGCAGAGCAGTTTTGTGCTGTGAGAACGTGTTAAAGCGTCACAATAAATGTTCAGTCAACTTGCTGCAGGAATACAAGCCATCATTGACATGATTTGCTGCCTGGTTGCATACAAATGCATCTGCGAGTTTGAATGAAGTAAATGAAATTAAAGCCAAATCACAATTTCAAGTGTTCTTCTCTGTCCAAACGGATGCATTGATTGTGAGGATCATGTGTTCAAGGCTCACTGGGGTTACATTTGCTTTCACAAACAGACGCCCACCTGCACTGATAAAGAAGGTTTGCTGTTTGTCCGCACGTCCAGCAAATCTCAAAGCTCTGCAGCTGAGTTAATATCAATCAAATACAAATAATTCAGTGTAACTGTGCTGAGCTCTTTACTGCCGACCCGCGGCACACAGCAGATGAGACGATGTGGACGCTCACAATCTCAAACCAGCGGGAGACTGTTCGGTTTTTAAGTGTGCTTGTGTCCTCGTTGAGGAACATAAACAAGAAGCGTCCATACACTTTCTGAGCAACTCTATGAAAACACATATGCATGAATGAATACACATAGAAATATGTTCAAAAGTGATAGGCAGAGCATTAGGTGGACAAACGGTATATATTTATTACTTCAAAAAGCTCTAGTTATTCCATCTTTATCAATCTTTGAAAAAAGTAATGTATTAGTTTCAAAGCTCTAATACAGTTTAATTATTTGAAATGAATATAAATATTATCCTTATAGCTAGAGTCTACAATCAGTATAACAGTTTTATGAAATATCCTTTTAAAAATGACTGAAATGAGTACAATAACAACAACAGAACAATATAGTGCATAGTGAATGGGTTTATTCACTCGCCGCTGACACCACAGCTTTCAGAACTTAAAGCTGTTTGATAATATTCTCCATTTCACCAATATCACCCAAGAAAATATATTCCATGTGGAAGACATATCAGTTTTATTTCTTACATGTCTAGATCACAGAGACTGAACATCGCAGCACAAACAGAATCACACGCTTCTCTGCAAACATGCACTTGTTCAAGACTGGAGCATCTTATCCAGAGCAGAAGCTGTACATGTGTTAGCTGTTAACAAAAATACAGTACTTTATTTCTCCAATAAGAAAATAAGTGGATTTTTTTTTCCATTTAAAAACTTTCTAAAAGAAGCTTTTGCGGTTTTGTATATAAACAAAACCAAAGACATACGTTACAACCAATGCAATTAATATACGTACAAAATAAAGTTACACATTGTAAAAAAAAAAAACTAAAAAAAAACTTTTCCATTGTATCTATCCTATGATATCAAGCACTTCTAAGACAATCCTGGGGTAGAAACACATACTGGACAACGAGCAGAGCTGCTGTCTTCACCGGCCCCGGAGCCGACTCCAGGGTTACACAAGGACATGGAGATATAGCTCATTAATAGCTCGTCAGACAGAATGCACTCAAACAACAGACAGAGCAGAAGAAAGCTTCCAAACCACTGTTTTTGCCCTGATGCCACTGAATAACCATTCTGGGGTCCTCGAAGAACCTTTCAGTGATCAGTTCTTTAAAAAAATTGCAAATGTGTAGTTTAATAATCTACCTTTTTCCACTATAAAGAATGTTTTGTGCATTGAAAATGTTCCATTGATTCATATCAACATGCCTGGGTTCAATTTCAACCCAAAATTATATATATATATATATATATATATATATATATATATATATAAACAGTAATTTATATAGTTAAACCCAATACATATATTTGAAACTAATTTATGTAGTTAAACCCAATACATATATTTGAAACAGAATAAACATTTTAATACACCGTAACCCCACGTTACAGTAAGAGAATCCCCATTACCAATAATAAGAATGAAAATAATCAAAAATAAATAAATAAATACAAATTAAATCATTTAAAAGTAACATGTCTGTTTGCACTGCAGTGACTTTCAGTATTTTTTTTTTTATGTTACCTTATTATAATTTGGGATTCAAATGTTCTTCATTATAAAGAAAGTAACGTCACAACGCAAAAACAGTTCATGTTTTGTTTTGTTTTTGGATGGGGGTAATGATGTTTTTGTCATTCTGGGCTGAAATGTGCCCCAGACATGCTTTAGTGGGACGTGAGGCCTGGTTTAATCTGTTCTGCCAGAGACGGCACACTCACTCAGGTGATACCGTGGTATTTCTCAGGTGTTACAGTGAAGGTGCTTCAGATCAGCGTACGCATGTTAATACGCCTCTCTCTGCGTGTGCATCTGCTCCTGGATCTTCTGCAGCATCTCCTGCATCCGCCTCAACTGCAACAAGAACAGAACCACAGTCAAACGCACAGCACCAACACCGATCCATCAATACTGACCAGCCGGGAAGTCTGAGTCACGTGACAGAAGCAAAGCTCCAGAGAAACCTCCATCAGGAATCTCCAGCTTAGCCAATCACAGTCATGTGAGCTAATAATCAATGCCTCCAGCACTAGAGCTCAGTGACACGGACACGTCTACATGATCAGTGGATGCTGGAAATCTATGGCGTTGTTGTGTAATGTACCACATGTAGGCTACGATCTGTACAGCACATCAACACGAACGCAACCGTGCACGGATTCATGTCAGTGATGCGCTAAATATGCATTTCCTTTGTGTTAGATTGAACATGAATGTCAGCATTTCCAACAGCTGAACTTTCCTGTCTAGTACTAATGTAAAAGCTAGAGTATGGAGCTGGTGACTGAATCCCGTCCTCAGCTGCTGCATGCATTCACTGTCAGCCAGTACTTCCACTCATGCCAGTTATCACCTGCACATGTCTTCATCTCAAGACATTCATCGGGTTTCCATCTCTATCATGTTCTGTTTTGTGTAGATCTGCTTCCTTGAGCTGATACAGCATTATGGTTCAGGAACTCAACTATGCTGTAGAATAAGCTACCAGAATAAACCTTTGAACAATGCATCAAAATGTCCACAATGGTTGCGTATGAATGCATATCAAATCATCAATCACCGGTGTTTAGAAGACTTTAATCACAGACTGATTCCAGAGCAAGAAATCCATAACAGATAACGACTTAAAAGCAAAGCCTTCATGTATTTTCTTCATTCTACAGTAACTGCATCAGAATTTTAAAACAACGTTAATCTACTAATCTTTCAAAATATAGACACAATACCACGACTAAGTAAATGCTCCATTTTTGAAATAATTACAAAGCCTTCCATGTTGTGAGATGTTCAAGGGTTTTTTTTTTTCAATGTTTTATTAATGTTATATTCTTGTAAATCCTCTCTAATTCTGCTTCATTTTTGTGTGTGTGCATTTTTCTTGATTGTACAGCACTTTGGTTCAACATCTGTTGATGTTAAATGGGCCTAAACTTGAAGGGGAACTTAATGAGAACACTTTATTATTTATTTTTTTAATATACTGTATATGTGCTTAAAGGCACAATATGTAATTTTCGCCGCTAGAGGGCGCGTATTCCAAACAAACGAAGAGACAAAGGTGTAGTTTGATGACGCTGTGACTGAGTGAGGAATCATGGGAGTTGTGGTCTTCATCCGCACAGCCGATGCAATCCGACGGGACTCGGGCAGAAATCATGTTCATGGGTGAGCTAATGATTTATTAACGTAGTAGAATGAAGCAGAGTGAGGCTGAACGCCGTCGAAGAGAAACGAGGCGCTGAACGAGCGTGACACACGGCTGGAAAGCAGCGGAGCTTTTATTATGCCACAGTCAAGTCGTGCGTATGTGGGGTAAAGCAGCGCTGTTTTATCATACTAGATACATTTAGTTCTGTTATAATGCTACTCTGTGCGGTCGTCACCGGTCTATTAAAACACACAACATATTAAAGCGTCTTTGGTGTTTCTGTTGGAAACCGAGGGGTTATGACGTCATTAGCAGGCGACACTATGACACTATAGACACGCTCCGTGCCACTAGTTAAAACTGCTTATTTCTCTGGATTTAAACATTCTTTGAAACATTTGGGATACTGTAAGTACACAAGTCAGCAAATATATAACACCGTTCTAGTGGTTTTTTAATAAAAAAAATCTTACATACTGTGCCTTTAATTGTCATTAAAATCATATATGTGTGTGCTGGAGATTTCTCTGTAAGTACACAAGTCAGCAAATATATAACACCGTTCCAGTGGTTTTTTAATAAAAAAATCTTACATACTGTGCCTTTAATTGTCATTAAAATCATATATGTGTGTGCTGGAGATTTCTTAGTCGGATTCACCCAGTCTGGGATGCAGGGTTAAAGTGCATCATGCCAGAGATGTGCAGGCGTTGGAAACTCTAATAAACACAGATTACACACTTACACACACAGCATGTGCTCTACTCTACTGCCTGATAGCGCCGTATGCACCTACAGGGGGCGCCAGTGACCCATCTAACAGTGAACTGGACTGTGAACTGGTTGATCTGAGCGTCCCGTGCTTAAATACAGTGATGGACTACATATGAGCCGCAGCTAGGACCCTTTGGAGTGAGGGTCGGCGCTGGGTGGGGGCTCTAAGTGAGGATCCTCTGGCTCCGAA